AACAATTTTGTTTTTAAGACGGTCTAATGAATCAATATTAAGTAATACAGTTTCAAAAGACGTTTAAAATAAAGAATTTTAATCATTCAAGGAATAAATTATTATAACAGTATTTAAGGTTTTTTTTTTTGATTAATAAAAAACAGTTTTACTAGTGGGGCAGTAAAACTCAATATTGCGTGTCATTTAGTCCAGTGGTATGATAAGTCTATACTTTTAAGAAAATAATGATGGTATGACACGAACTGATACTTCCCATCGCTACAACCATGTAATCAATAATATTTTATAGCCTGGAAATAAAACTATTGAAATATATCTGGTTTTAACAGAATGCTGTCACAAACCACACGATAAGTTATGATCTAATTATGGGTCTTTTGCGCCAGATCTGGTAAAGTAATTTCATATTTTGATGATGTTTACTGACCACCATATTATATTATTATGACTTGTCACTACTTAACGAATCATATGTGGGGTTACGTGAAAGATCGCGCTTATCCGGATCATATTCAAGTTTCGAACATGAACACAAAATATGGTTAAGCTATTGTGTATTAACTCCGAAGAAGTCATAGAAGTAATTGTATTAAAAGGATACAGTGTGAAAGATGTGTTGTGGAGTATATTTGAATGATATTATATTTGACATATAATGGTAAGCTCTTTAACAATACAAAAATTTAATCACAGGAGTGTTTTCTTTATGTTTGCTTTGAATCTTATTATTTGGTAGAAATTATATTCGGTAGAGAGGTTTCGTAAAGTAGTGAATCACAACAACAAAAATTTTTTTATTATTATTTTAAATAATTGAATTTTTGTCTGGCCAGTTTCAAAAAAATTATTTATGAGTAATAAAATATAAGAAAAAAATTCCAAGACTACTGATGTTGTGTATTTGGCAATACTCGAATTAGTTGTATGGTCAGTCAAAAATACAATTAATTAAAATAATATAAAAATAGTTTTTGTTGTAGTTTTTTCATAATTTTTTTTTATAAAATAGTTTTAATTATTTTATGCATTAAATAAAAATTAAAAGTAACCTGAATTTAGTAAATGGTTTATATATCACTTAAATACTTCATAATAACTGCTTAAATATTTCTTAAAGTGCCTTAAGCAATTCTTTTGCGTAAATAAATTTTCATATTGTTTTTGCTTATTTTGTTTTTTCTTTTTTGATTTGTTCTATTGTTCTTTATTCAGAAAATCCAACAAAATCTTTTGTCGTTGACTTTGTATGTTAACAAATTCTGCTTTAAGGTACAGACTGTTAACAAAATAATATTATTTGATTAGCCGCTGTATATAAACAACTGTGCAAATATAAATATTTAAGCAGATAATATACATTTTGAAATGTATATAAAGCAATATTGATATAATTCTTATTATATTTAATATATTTTAAAATGGTAAATTGTAATGTACTTTGTTATTGGTGTTCAAATAAAATAGGATCATTAATACGTGAGCATTGTATCTGCAAAATGTAATAAGCTTATGCCAACTGGAATGAACGTAAGCTTACTCAACTGCTCCAACAGAATCAGTGTTCTCATCCACCCATGCATGTGGTAAGTAAATAATGTTATTAACATTACTATACTCTATCTACAAACTCATTGCAAACATAATCAATTAATTAAATAAATTCACTGTAAAAGTCTTTCATAGATTTTATGTGAAGTCGTTGTCGATTTTTTAATATTGAAGACATACAATATAAGATTTCTGTATAAATTTTATAATAAGCTTAGTTTGTTTCTAAAATATATTCTATACTAAAATAAATAGAAAACGCATTACACAAAAATAAAAATAACATGAATAAATAGGGAGAAAAATATAATTATATTATAGTACAAATAATGTTACCAAAAAAATTTTTGGTAATAAGATTAGTTTGTGTTTGTAACATATTCCACACTAAAATATGAAGAAAAATAAAATCACATTGATAAATATCTTTTTTTTTGAAAATTTTGGAACGAACATTTCGAAATAATAACGAAAATATTATATAAAAACCTAATACATAAAATTATTTCACAAAAATTTTAAAGAATTGAAAATATCAAAAAAAAAATTGTTCATTCTTATATGAATGAACATACAAAAATTTCAAAACGTTGTATTAAAGGGTGTGGCACATGCAACATGATATGTAAGAAACTCTGACCTGTATCGTGATCTAGAGATAAGTACAGTTGTAGAAGAAATACAGCGAAATGCAAAAATGCACCTGAAGCGATTGTATTTTCATCTTAATGATGAAGTTAACGAACTAGCGTCAATAGAGCCTATATGTCGCCTTAAGCGTCAAAAACCTTGTGACCTTTGGTTGCAACCTGTCCGAAATACATTTTTTTTTAATTTTTCATAATTGCGAATCAAAATTGCTTGCTAGTTTTCTATAGCTAGTTGCTTTTATAAAATTTATTTAGTCAAATAAATCCAATAAAAATAAAAAAAATTCTTATATAAGAAAATTTTTGCATTAAAAAATAATAAAATATGCCATAAAAAAATCTTACAATAAAAATAAAATTGAAGCCTTCTTTTGAAACAAGCAAATAATATATTCATTTGTTTAACTATAAAGTTGGGGTAATATATCTTTGCATATTTTAATACATATGTGTAGATATAATTTAAATTTTAGAAAACTCAAATGCTCTGTGATTAAATTTTCAATATATGTTACAAGTGTGATTTTATTCAAAATAAAATAAAATGTTTTATATGCAGAATTGCAAGTATTTTTAAAAAACGGAGACGGAGATGATTTCGTTAAAATAAATCAATTTACTCCTGCCTATATTCATTAAGTCGTTTTATTTAATGATTCAAACAAGTGGGGAAGAAAAATGTCTTTATAAATCGTCGCATTGTTAGACGATATTTTTAAATTTTAATGATTTCTATTGTGTCTTAAAATACACTTTCCAATAAATTCCTACAATTGTTATTATTTGATTCTTACATACATATATCTAAATTGATGTAAAAGCCTTTCCTATTCTGTTTAAAAATTACATGGAAATCGCAAAAATATTTTGATTGTATGTAAAAATAATGCTTTATATATATAACACAGACTTTCACGCAAAAGTGAAAGAAGATGTATTAAAATTGTTGCTAAGCTTCGTGAAAATTTTAGGAAATATAAAAAAAGAATTAAAAAAAAATATTAACATTTCACAAAAGAAATTCGAATTGATTAACCTTAAATTCAACAGCAGTTGAAAGGTTCATCTTTAATAATGAAAAAGGATAAAATTATGTTGAAACATAATTGACAACAGATATTTTCAGCAAAAGAACAATTTGAACCTCTTCAGATTAGGTACAAATTATATTATTATTTAAATATATATAATATCTTTGAGGCTGAATTTAGACGGGATTTAAAATGGTTGGTAATTACGCAAGTGCTTTGAAGAATGATTACATAAAGTCATCCTTTTTTAAAATGAAATTGAAAATTAAAACTAAATTGTAAGCATAATTAATACTCTGAAATAAAAATTAATACCAAGCCAACAATTTTAAATTGACATTGGCTGGGATGCAAAGAGTTGTATAGAACATTCTTATATATAACTAATCATTATTAATTTGATTTATTTAAAAAATTCCAATAAAATAAACACTAAAATGTTTTATCAAGTGAAGTATAAACGCTTTTAAAATAGATATTGACAACAAACGTGGCTCACAACTATATCGTTACTGTTAGCATTCGCAAAAAATTAACTATTTAACTAATCTTTATTAAGTAATTAAAAAAAAATTATACAATGTTATTTTATAGCACATCCTGTCTCAAATAATCTTCCAACATGACCTTAAAAGTTCGTAATATTACTAATGAGTTTAATTATTTTAATATTTAATTATAATAGGAATAGATGGAGCACTGCGTATCATTGAAACAGAGCATTGGGCTTCTTGTAAATTTTTTTGAAGATTTTTTGAAGATGAGTTATTGAAGATTTTCAGACGGGTATAGATATATAACCTTTGTCTATAACTTCCTCCTGTTCCAGGTCAAAGCCGACAGTTTAAAGAAGATGATCAAATATCTCATATCTTTCTAAGTAAATCAGCGAAATTATCTCTTCAGACACACACATTTTGTTAAAATGCAAATAACGGTTATAGTAAACGTTAGATAATTTAAAAACAATATGATTTCATTTCTAGTTATGAGAGACTAGTTGCCGTAGCTGAAATATCGACTCAACTGGAGATACCGGCTGTTTTGCCTGGCGCTTCTTCACTTTAGTGTTACAATTTGCTTCATTCGATAACCACTACGCTTTTGGGTTAGAGATTATTAGAGATAATGCTATCACGTTCTCAAAATAAGTTTTTAATTAGTAAATTACTGCAATTTTTAACTCATTTCATTTGTAAAAACCAAGGTCTCTTAGATACATAAGAATTGAATTTTTATATATATATTAAAGATAGAAAGCAAGTACCGTAAACATATTGAAAGGATTTATGTATTTAATGCTAAATGAATGTCTATAAAAAAACCCCTTTCCAAAATCATTATATGAACAAAACTGTCGTTCCTTATTTGTTTGAATGTATATTAAACATTATAAACCCAATAATGATATCTAAGATGCACTATTTTGTCAAACAAGTTATGATATCTGTATTTTTGATACATATCGACAAATATTCATCAAAAATCCTTCAGAATTAAAAATTGCTAATATTACATATCTACATATGTACATACATCAAGCAATCATTAAAAATATCAAAACAGAGCTAAATGAAGAACATTTCTTTCATTAAGATAGATCGAATCATAAATTCATGATACCGATAGTCATTCTGTACTCTGTACTCTACGTCTAATATCAATTAAAATATTTAGACTCTAAAATAGTCTGTACTATTTTATACATAAATTTATACATAAAAAATTTTTATATAAAATTAGTAATAAATATTCATTTTGTACTCACCTGTGGTAAGCTCAGTAAAAAGGACAGTATATAAGTACAGCCCAACAGTCTATAACAGCGCTTCGCCATATTCAGTGATTTCATTGGATATTTGACAGCAATCCACCGATCTACACCGATCAGTACGAGCACATAAGTAGATAAATACAAACTGAACATTTGAAAAGTTTTCACTAATTTACAGGTGAGTTCAGTTGCTAGCCACTGCACAGTGTAACACCAGGCAGCCTCACCAATAATACAAAAACCCGTCACCAGCACATCTGCTATCGAAAGATGGAAGAGCAGCGAATAAATAGCACTCCAACTATGTCGAGAGTTACGACGTGCAATACGAGTCTTATAAATATTCCACATAGTTAGCACATTACCCAACATGGAGAGCAGTGCCATCACTGATAATACATACACTTTGACCATAGCAGATTTTGATAGCTGCGGTGCATGTTCTAATCTTATTTCATCATCTTCAATTGGTGGGTCCATAGCAGGTAAGTGTGGTGAATTGACATGAAAAGCTGTGATATTTGAGAAAATTGAAAATACTTCGTCGACCTTAAAACTAGGCGCAGTCGTTGTTGTGGTTAAACTGGACAAAATATCTAAGCCAGAATTGATAAAATTAATCGCCGATAAATTACCAACATCGCTGTTCATTTGTGTTGAATTCGTTGCTAATGTCCAGTTCGCCAAATTGTCAGTGTAATCGGCATAAATGGGAATGCCTGTAGCATCGCCCTCTTCCACTTGCAGGTTCATTTTATTTGAATTATTACACACTTTCTCATGAATATTAATTTTTTGGTAAGAATATTACTTAATTTTTGAATAAATTTCGTTTTTGTATTTGTGCATGTTTACTGTTTTAATTGCATAAAATTATTACCAATTTTCTTTTGCGGTGGTAAAGTTAAATTATCTTTGAAATTTTAACGCGTAAATTTTTCTTTAGTAACTGAAAATAATTATAATAAAATTTGAATAATTTTAATATAAACATTTTTTTTTTTTTGTTAAACACTTGATAATATATTTGTACTTTTTTTTTTATTTAAAATACAAATTATTAATAACACTCAATCATAAAAATGCTACATTATAATTTATTCTCTAGAATTACTGCTCTTTTTTATTACTTATTTAAATTTATTTTATTCAGTTTTTCATTGGACTTTGAGTGTATCAACCGCAGTGCTTCAACACTTTAATTATTCGCCCGAACATTGAATTATTTTCTCTACTGCACTGTTATTTTAGTATTAATTTGATAAATTACCATAATTATTTTCTGTTTAAGCTTTTTATTCTGTGCTTGATTTACAGCGTTCATTTAACAGCGGATTTGCTCACTTAAAATGGCTGCCAATTATTTTCTGTAATTATTTTTCGCTTGCTCATTCGTTTGAGTGAACGAATGAGTGTATGCGGATTTGGCTTAAGCGATTTTCTTTCTAAAATTATTCGCTAAAATGTTGTATTTATATTTTTCGACAGTTTTCATTCTACACCAACTTAAGTGCTTTGATTTTACTTTATATTGAAAATGTTTAATAAGAGCTTTTCAATAGAAAAATATCATTTTTAATGGCACTTGTAGTATATTATTCTGTTCTTCATTGAACTTCCTTTTAACATTATCATTTATGCCGTTGGTAATTTTTATTTTATAATTTCCTACTAATTGTTATTCCTACGTTAACTACAGGCACTTTGGCTATTATTATTTTCATTTCCTGTTATGTAGTAGTATATAAACTTAAGCTTACCCAGAAGTGAAATTTGGAAGAAGAGAACACTGTATAGTTTTGTGACAGTAAGGTTGATCTGTATAATCACATATTTGAGCAAATTAATAATGATTAAACCTATACCCAATTATTTGACCTAATTCTTTATATAAATACAAGTATTTTCGAATGTAGATCTGAGCTCAATTATTGTTTAGTCTGATGAAGTGTGAAATAATAATCTAGTCAAGGCGTAGAGACCGGTCATGAAGAAACTTCGCAGAGTTAATAGAGAGTAAAAGTGCTCAAGAGCACTGACTCAACTACCCTCATCATAATAATAAAGATTTTTTGCAAGGCTTGCTTGGGTGGTTTATCGTACATATCATGCAGAATACATTCACTGGAGATAACAAAGTAGCGATTATCTTCATCAAATTGTGCATTTTGTGTATATTAGATTAATCTGGCTGGCTGTGGAGCATATACAAAACTCTTGATTCTACCAATAACAGTTAAAGTTAAGTTTCAACATAGAGTTTTGTAGTAGGCTTTTTTGAGAGGTTAAGGAGTGTTTCTTGCTCTATTCCTTAAACAGAGTCACAAAGCATTTTTAAAGCGTGTGTAAACCTTAGAGGTGTTTCAACCAGCACCTATTATGCCGTACTAGTACAAACTCATCGTGTTCTCAGTGAGATTGGACATTTTAAGTAACGAAAATTTTGAGGTGTCAAAATAGTGTTGCATTCCAGTTAAAAGCATTTTTAATTAATTTACAAAGAAAAGTACTTATGTTTTGATAATTTTAATAAGTTGAGCCAAATGAAATTATTTTCATCTAATAAGATTATCATTTCCTTTCCACAATACTTATAATAAAATGGCATTAGAAACATGAAAACGTAAATTTGGCTTTAAAAAAAATATTTATAATAAGAGTGATAACAATCGGTTCAGATTTGGATATAGCTGCTTTACAAACTAATATTTCAGTACTGTTGTTACTTCATTCTATTATAAACTTTTTAATTTGTTAATAGTTTTATCTAAATTTGACTTTTTAGTAAATAATTTAATAATTATAATAATAATTTAATAATAGTAATAATTTAAAAATAATTGAAAAACACATATATATTCTGCACCAATTTTTATTTGAAAATTATAACATATATGTTTTTTTACCCTTCAAGAATAGTGTTAATAATACATGCAGTTTTTTTTTTAAACTTTACACTAAAAAGGGTAAAAAGGGAATGGTACTGTTTTCTGGAGCAGGGGGTATCTAAGTTTCGGCAAAGCCAAAACTAATACCTTTTCTTATTTAAATTGCAAACAAAAATATGTGCATGTAAGCAAAACTATTTTGAAACTATTCAAGTCTTGCTTTAATAAAATTTTTAGATTTATATTAAATTTTTTAATGCTTTGTACAGAATTATGTTAATTATTTTATTTTTACATTCATTTAGTCAATGAAATCGATTAGAATAGTCAATTGAATTTTTACTACAATATCAGTGCAAATAATTCAATTTAATTATATATTGGTTGCGTTTGATTATTGCAATTTCTTCACCTTTGCATTGACACTGCGATTTGAAATTTTATTTCCATTGAATTTTAGTCCGCAATTACAAATTAATTGCATGAAATGATTATACGAAATGAATTGCTGATATAAGAATCACACATGTATATGGATATTAACCTTAAAAATTGTTTATGCTATTATGCATTTATTTAATTCTATAATACCGGAAATCATACAAAAACTGAAAATCGGTCACGGAATTTAGTTAATATTTAGATTACAGTCCTTTTTAAAATTAATATTAAAATTTGTTTTTAGAACCATGTTATGGTACTTCTGTCATTAATACTGAAGAAAAAATTTTAACTGAATGAGAATTAAGAATATGTCTTTTGGTGTTTTTATATGCTGGCAGGAGTATTTTATCATGTTATTGGCTAATTCACTACGTTAAGCAACTGTGTTGAATTAGATAGATTCAGAAAAAAATATGCTCTTCAATGCGTACTTAATTTAATTAAATTTCTTCCACTAAGAAAATAAATCAACATATTTTTTTGTATTAGATTGAAGAATTTGTTTTATAAGTTTACTTAAAAAATAAAATAATAACAACAACAGCGATATTAAAAATACAATTGTTGTGCATAAAATTGATATTTTTTATTACTATATAAAAATACAAGTAATTTAATTCTACAGGAGTACAGAAGCAAAACAGGGTAAAAAATTTATTTTGACACAACAAAAAGACCACAGCATGTATCCTTTTTTGTATTTGGAATACGTGTTAGTGAAAACTTTAACCTGGCTTTTACCCATGTTAACCGCAAAAATGTGAATAAAAAATGTATTCCACATTGTTCCGCTTTACACTTATTCAAACAAACAAATAAGTTATAGCAATATGATGTAGGAAATGAACCGTGTAGATGGGAACCACATTTAGTAACTGAATGTGGTTGGCATGTGAAAACATATAACTACCACAAAAACTGATTACCACCAAACTAACTACCACAGTAGTGAAACTGATTTAAGTTTATGGAACTGTGGACGCAATTACGGTTGCTTTTTATAGTTGTCACCTGCACGCGGTATAAGGCAACTAAAAACTGTACTAACTGATTTTTCATAACTTATTTATTTAATAGATTAATATATTTTTGAACGGATTATTTGGTCAATTTTCAAAAATATACACTTTATTAAATTAATTTAAAAAAATATATATTTAAGTGTTAACAGCATTTCTACTATTGTTTATTATCATCTTATGGAAGCTGAACACTGGTTCAGTAAACCCGCACACATATGACTTAATACCTATTAAGTACAATTCAGTTAAGATTGTACTACTCATACCCAATAAAGAATATGAGTAAAAAAAAGAAGGTGTACTAATATAATTTAGTAACATAAAAACATTACAGCGAGAAAATAACAAAAAAAAACGTATATTCTTGGAAATGCTTTACATTATACAAATTTCTAATGACATAACTAAGACTCAACTATAAGACGTGCCGAATATACAAAACTGTCCTCAAGTGTATAAAAGCACTTTTTATAAATCGCGAACATAATAAGTATATATTTCCTGTATATATATAATTATGAACTGATCACTATTGTGTTGTATGATTCTTTCTTTGTCATATGTATTGAATTAGTGTTGTATTATAAATATTGATACTATATCCAGAAACCCCAGTACCCAGAATACCCAGTAACCAGAAGCCCTAGAGACCCAGTACCCAGCAGTTGACTTTAGACAACAGTTGAAATATTAGTGATAATGAAATATATTTTTCAAATTATTTGTAAGTTGTGTAATTTTTAAACTAATTTACCAATTAGCTGGTTTAAGAATATAAAATAAAAACTAATATCAATTTGTCCAAGTTTTTTTTTTTGTTTATTTATCATTTTATTATATTTTATTATTAAATTATTTTTATGTTATTTATTTTTTTAATATTAATCCAAATTTAATATTAATCAAAAATGCTTATAACTCTTAAATCTATAACATTATTAATATGATAAGAATTAATTTTGCAACCATTCATATTTATTAATCTCTATTCTTATGTTTCTATATAATTATTAAGACTACGAATATTCTAGTTTGAAAAATTTTAGAAAGCAAATAGATTATATAGCATTATGTAAAATATATCAGGAAAAGCTGATTTTGTATACAAACTTTCAACTTATTAAGGCTATTAAAAAGATAATAGCGGATAGATGGAAAGATAGATGGAAAAATAACTGATAAGTGATATGTACTTTGTAGCACATGGCAAACAGTCTACACAGAAAAAAATATTTGATGCAGTCTCTGTATTTATTTCCATAAGAAAGCAATAAACTCTGATAGACATCTGATTCTTTTCAAGAAACGTGATAGATTTTTCATCTCGTTTTACACTGCACAATGTTTTTCATTTTCAAAGAACGCAAATAAGCAATTATTTAATTTAAATTATAGTTCAATATTGTTAAATGAATCAAAAAATTCAATTAATTAACAATATTTA